CCTCCCGCGGCTCCTGGAGCTCTCCTGCCCCTTTCACCTCCCCGCTCTTCTGGCGCAGCACCCCTCCCCACCCCCCACTCCCCGCGACTGCGGCTCTGATTCTGGTCTCCGAGTGTCCTTTTAGTTGTCTTTATCTTTGGCTCCAATTCGTTCTGTGTCTCTTCGTGTGTGTCTTTCCGGCGCCCTCTGTCCTGTCGGCTCCTCTCTGTATCTGTCTCTGTGCCTGTCTACTTGTCTCTTTTGGGGTCTCTCTGCCTCTATCCATCTCAATACATATGTCCCTCTCTCCGTCTCTATCCACCTCTGTGTCTGGCTGGCGGTCTTCCCTGGCCTCTCTCCTTCCCAGTCCAGACAAGACAGCCAGCCTCTTCCTCTCTTGCCTGCCCTTGCACTGTCTTCTTGGCTAGGACGGGAGGAAGCCAAGGGTGACCTAGGAAGGGTGGCTTCGAGAGGGGCGTCTCCTCTGAACAGGGGCTCTTCCCTCTTTTCTCCTTAGAGAGGGACAGCCCGCCAGCATTGTGCTGACTGCGTCCTAGCCAGAGCCCTAGCACCTGCCTCCTAGGTGACCTGGGGAGGAGGCTCACACTTCCCATGGAGTGGAGTCGGTCCAGGTAAGACTCCACCGAGGTGTCTTTGGGCTGGTCACTTGATTCCTGAGGACTTGCACCTTAAGAAGCAGACATCTCCTCTGGTTTCCCTCACCACGTGGTGAGAGAGTCATATGAGACAGCGGTTGAAAAGTACACAGGAAACTAAAATTCTACATAAATGGGGGAAGGAGGGAGAACAAGAGGGGCTGAGGCCAGAGCGGAGCAGTGAAGGTGTCAGCACCAGCAGAACCAATACCAGCCCAGAATTCTCTCTTTTGCCTGCTCCATGCCAGCCTAGGGCTAAGCATCTTGCATACATTATCTCCCAACAACCCCATTTTATTTTTTTATTAAATGTATTGGGATGACATTGGTTAAGAAAATTATATAGGTTTCAGGTGTACAATTCAGTAATACATCATTTGTACGTTGCATTGCGTGTTCACCACTCAAAGGCAAATCTTCCATCGTTATACGTTTGACCCCTTTACCCTTTTCTACCTCCCCCTCTCTTGTTTCCCTCTGGTAACCACCAGGAGTTCCTTCTTCCCATAACCTCTCCAATACCGTTATTAATTGTCTTGTTGGTATTAGCCATTCTAACAGGTGTGAGGTAGTACCTCATTGTGGTTTTGATTTGCATTTCCCTACTACTAGTGAAATTGAACATCTTTTCTTATATCTGTTGGCCATTTGTATGTCTTCTTGGGAGAGAAGTTTGGGTCCGTTTGGGTCCTCTGCTCATTTTTTAATCGAATTATTCCAACAACCCTATTTTACAGAGGAGAAAACAGAGGCCCAGGGAGAGCACACACGTGACTTGTCAGTATGATTGGAACCAGAACTGAGGCCTGGCACCGGAAATCAAGAGTATCTTTGTATTTATTTTGCTTTCTTCTTGTATTTTTAGCAATTGATACTATTTCTTTATTTACAGGAATGATATAAAGTTTCCTTTTCAGCCTAAGTTTATATTTTTAAAAAATGAATCAAAACACTGAGTAAATATGTATTTAATGGGTTAGGTTGTTAGGGCAAAATTCATGGAGGTGGTAAATGAATGAAGTTGAGGAAATACAACACTTTGGATTTGCATAAGATGTTATGGGTAAAAACATCCAGAACTGAACCCCAAATCTGGGAGGGTCTCTATAATTGCTCACAAACTCCAAGGAAGAGTTTAGGGTTACCAGGAGGCTTGAGATGATGTCATCAACAGTAAGCCAGGGGCAAGTGTCCAGGCATGGAAAGTCTACCTGTCTGTCACAGCCTAGACAGAGGCAGGGAAGCTGGGCCAGCAGGGAGTTGAGGGGACCCCATCCCACCTATCATGGGTCCCCAGCACCTGTCCCTGACTTCTTACCTCCCCAAAGCTATGAGGGATGGTACTTCTGTTTGTACCACATGGCCAGCATTGGGCCCTTTGTGTCTGGGTGATTTTCCTCTAGTTACTCCCCCATACACACACACCTTGGGAGTCCAGAGATCGGTTATCAGCAAAAGGGACTGTGGCCTGGCCAGCCCTGCCACCTTCTTCTCTCATCCCTCCTACCCTGCTCCTGGGCTCTGCCCCCAATGAGAGTTCAAACGAGGCAGGGCCACCCCTGCCACCCCTCCTGATGACACCAATACTACAGGAAGGAGTTCAGACGAGGCAGGGCCACCCCTACCATCCCTCCTGATGACACCAATACAACAGGAAGGAAGCCTGGACCGGAAACTAGGAGCTCCACTTCCCAGCTCTGCCCTAGCTTTCTGGGTGATCTGCAAGACACCTTCTCTGTCTAGGCTAAGATTCCCTCTGGCTGGTTGGATTGGACAATCTCTAAATCCAGTCCAGATTCCAGGATTCCAGGACCACTCAACTGGTAGAAAGCAGTTCATTACATTAGGTTTCTCTGCATCTATACTTTTCATACCCTGTCTCTGGGGCTCCATTTCCTTATTAAAAAAAAAATAAGCAAATTGGACTGGTTGACCTCCCCGCTCCCTTTGCTCTAAGAGCTGATGATCTCATTGAGTCTCTCAATGCAAGGTGGAGAGGGCAGACATTTACAATCCCCATTAGAGATGAGGAAACCAAATGCCAGAGACATTAGTTACCTAAAGGTCAGGGTCAGAGCTGAGGCTTTTCCTACTCATTCATTTATTCCACATTTATTAAGTGCCCCCTGACTTGAACAAGGCCTGAAGTTCACCAGGCATTAGAAGCTAAATTAGAGGTGAAAGGCCAGGAACCCCAGAGTTTTAATTCCCACTTCCACTGACCCCTGAGGAGCCTCCTCCAGTGAGAGATGCTGAAATGGTAAGCTCAGGGGTGTTAGGCTCTCAGTGGTGAGCGACCGAGGAGGAAAAAAAATGAGAGATGAACAAAACTCCAAGGCATGTTGACAGCGGGCAGCACAGAGTCAGCTCTGACTGGAGCAGGGGGAAAGATTGCCTGAAATCTGGATGGATACTTAAAGAGGAGGGGTCTGGAAACACTTTGTCTTTTTGACCCCTAGATTGGAAGGATGATTTTATCTCAAGCCCCTGCAGAACCAAAGGTTCAGCTGTTTGACTCCCAGAGCCACCTCCAGCCCTACCTTCGACTCAGTAGAACAGTGGAGAGGACTAGGGAAACTGAGGCAGTATCATTAAACCAACAATCCCACTGCCCAACATTATTGAACTGACTCCACGTGAGGCCCTGGTCTAAGTGCCTTGTCTGTATGAACCCATCTAATCCTCACAAAAGCCCTACGGACTAGGGACTTTTATTCCCATTTTACAGATGCAGAAACCGAGGCATATACAAGTTATATGCAGAAGCGCCCGCCGCCCTGCTGCAAAGCTCTTCACAGGTGAGACGGCATTCACTCCTCTCTGCAACCCTGAGGCAGCATCTTAATGTCATCCTCACTTTTCAAATGAGGACGCGCTCAGCTCAGGGAGGCTTAACAACTTTATTCATCCAACAACATGTAATGGATGTCTGCCCTATGTGTTCTAGGAACTGGGGACACAAGTGAACAAAACAAAGATTTGTGTGTTCATGGAGCTGACAGGCTAGTTAGGGCAGACATCACAAACAATAAACATTATAAATACGTAAATTATATGGTGAGTTAGAAGGTGATAAGGGAATGGATAAAGAGCTAGAAGAGATATAAGCGGGGGGAGGAGTGCTGAGAGGGGGCAGATTGTGACATCAGGTAGAGTGTTCAGGCGAGATTGGAGCAAAGACCAAGGGCAAGAGAGAGCTTGTCTAAGACCACCCAGAGGGTAAGGGAAGAAGCCAGGCTGCTTGTGTCTAATGCCTGGGCTTTTAAACAGTGCACACATGCCCTTCCAGGAGCAGCTCTAACCCTAAGCCTCATCCCAGCCCTGGGTTTAGCTCCAGTCCTGGGTTTACCCCCCTAATCCTGCCCCAGACCCTGCCCTAACCCCACCTCGAGCCTAGCCCTTGCTGCAGCCCTCATCTTCTGTCTTAGTCCTCTCTCTTAGATAGACCGACCGAAGGTGTCCTTTTACACCTGCAACTCCATCCTCATCCCAGGCTCTGCCTAGCAGTCAGCCCTGTGCTCAGTAGCCTAAGAGCTGGCCAGCCCCTGGCCCAGAGGATGTCCTCCAGTTCCAGCTGCCATTAAAGGAAGCTGTCCTCACAAAGGCCTGGGAAGCACGTCTGTGAGAAAAACCCATTGTCCAGGGAACAATGTTTCCTTTTTGTCCTTTATTTCCAAAAGGACTTGTGAGCAGGCTCCAAGCTCAGAGAGGAAGCATGTTGCTTCTTATTCTCAGCCCTGAAGAAGGCTGCAGGCCAAGTAGAAGAGTCAAGGCCATCTGCTGGGGCCTGGATTCCAGAGGCCAGAGCAGATTCAGGCAGGTCCGGCCTTAGCAGTCCCGTGGCACTTCCAGGATGGAGGCAGAAAAGAAGCCACTCCTAATAAGTAGGAAAAGAGCTTAGCTATACCCAGGATGGCAGAGAGAAGATCTCCTCCAGTCCCCCAACCCCACCCCCCAACACACACACAAGGCTTTCATCATCTCTGATACAGTCTTCCTGAAGGTTCATCCACCTCCTGCCTGTGCATTGGTCTGTCCATCCATCTCTCT